AATATCTGTATGGAGTTCACGAAATTCAAAGTGATAAAAAAATATATATGAGAAGAGTTAAAGTTCACTAATATTGTGAAGTTATAAATTTCTTAGCTGGAAATTATTTTAATTGTATAATAAATTTGTAATGGATATTCCTTATTGTTACAGAAACTATACTATTTTTTTCTAATATATTATTTCTCTTCTATACTGTTATTTATAATTAACGATGGATATTTTTGAAGTAAAGACTTCTATAGGTACGTTTTGGATGGGAACAAAATTCATAGGTTATCATTTGTTTTTCAATAATATTTAATAATATTTAAAAAACAATGTAGGTAAAGGACGTTGAGAATTTCGTCGGTGCGGCAATCAGCCATTTAGCTAAGTGGCTAAAGCGTCAGGATCCGGAGACGTGGGTTCGATTCCCACGGCGGCAGAAAACTTTTCGTACTGTTTCTACAGATTTTAATTACAATTATTGTTTTATTATGTAATTTTTCTACATATTTTAATATTCAATCTTAAATGCAAAGATTAGCACTATAAACAACTTAAATTTCCAAAATTATTGTTTATTGGTTTTAGTTGTATATGTGATTGTGTAGATTAAACATAGATGTTTGCTCAGGACGGATATTAAAGACGTTCAGCGACCCTTTTGCGCATTTGAAAAAAGTACTAATACTGTTAGCCCATAACACGTTTACGTGTTTTAGCACGGAGAGACATATTTTATATGTTTAATTTAGGGGGATCTATTGTACAGAGATGGTAATGGACTAGTCGACCCTCTAGGCTATGACGCATTTGCATAGTATTTGTGATTTACGGTTGCCAGCTGCCGATTTTTCCACATTATGTCGTGATACATACAGTACAAACATAGGAAAAAAATATACTGACTAGTCATACACTGACTGTTGCTTTTGAGGGCACAATGACTCCGTGGCGCAATTGCCAAGGTATTGGCTTCGGCGTCGGGGGTCGTGGGTTCGATTTCCACACGGGACAGCTATTTGTGTGAACCACATATAGTTGTTTCGCATCTGGGTGTTTGTCCGCGTGAAATTTATGTTTGTAAAAACGTCCCTACAACACAGGATAATGTTATCCTAAAGTAAGGGCGATGTTAAAAAAAATGAAGAAGAACAAGAAGAATGACGCGCTTAAAATACTTTTGCAAAGTTTTGCAATGTTCCTTACTCGAGCTCCCCGACTTCAAATGCTAAACACATTGATGAAAGACATCGTAAGAAAATCTTAGGTCAACAATTCCTTAGCAGTTTCGACATTTTCCTTATAAATCTCTGTTAACTCCTTCGTTCGGTTGAGGGATATATATTTGTGGGTTGATTACAAATCCCGGCCGTCCAGAGCTAAAGTGATATCTTATCTGCGTTATTGCGGCCTCCGAAATTTGCGACACTATAAATGTGCGCACGGATCTTAAGAGTTTTTGTATGTGCTACGAACAACAGATGCCGTCTGATATAATTTTTTTTTATCATGTGGGAGGTGGCTAGCGAGCTGGCGGTTCGCCTGATGTTAATAACCGCCGTCCATGGACATTTGCGACGATTGCAGATGCGTTGCCACATTATAATAAACTGGGCCCCGGCTACCTCACTCGCCAGACGAAACGCAGAAGTGTAACACTTCTACTTCACTACGGTCTTGTGTGAGGTCGTGGTACTAACCCGGTCGGACCTGCCCATTCGTGCAACAGCCGAAGCTTACCACGGTTACGAACAGAAGATAAAGTTCAGTTTATTATCGTGCTGTCGGCTATGTTGATTAATAAATAAGTGAAGACAAATAGTACTTACTGTGAAAACTTGTATCAGTCCGTACTTTATGATAATCTCAATATATTAATGTGTCTATTGGCTTATCATATGTATAACTTACGTCATAAATTTTGCAACGTGACTATTGTATTCTTGAAATAAAGAATAAATGATAGGTACACACTTCATATATATTCAAAGCTATTTTTAGCGTTTCAAACAAACTTTATCTTTAGAACTGTTGACAAATTAATAAACATTACTTATAAATTGGTCACTAATGCAATATTATACATTTAGATTGAATTAATTATAAATTATAATCAAATGTTGAGCGGAAATGTATTCGAATAATCATTGGTCATTAAAGGTGACTGATTTCAAAAGGCGGCTTTTTATGACCAAAAACATTCTTAATAAGGCGTGCGGCGTTCTTCCATCTTAGGATGAAGAATTTTTTTGAAATTTTCGTACGTTATCGTATCAATTGATGGAGAAAACGTATGAATAACGCGCAGTGCTAACCTAATTTTTATTCAATATTTAAACCGAAGGTATGCGAGTTAATTAAATAGTCGTACGGACGGTCAAAAGGGCCTAATTAAAGCCCGCGCAGACAAAACGTGTGCGCGCTTTGCCGCTTACACAAACAGCGGGTTAATTACTTCTGGAGTACAACTGTATGTGCAGAGTACGCCACGGGTCGCGCTACTCACATGTCAAATGGAGGCACAGTAATAACAATGTGACGCGACAGTTACGCACACAATTAGAACTAATGCGCGCCTCCTGTACTCATGTGCGCTCTTCCTGTGGAGAATTTTATCCAGACACGATTTCTAAACTGACACATTTAAATTATTTCTCATTATAAAATGTTTGAGAAAACTTTGTTCCGGTGAAACAAGAAGTGAAATTAATGTTTTGAAGTTATACTTCTTTTGGCGTGTTGGGACAAAAGTATGAGAGAAAAACTTTTACTATGCGCGCAGTATTGGTTATTAACAACTTTTTGATATTTACCTATAATACCCGACCCGATTGGCGTATTGGGTAGTGACCCCGCCTCTTGTGCCAGAGGATGTGGGTTCGATTCCCACTACTGGAAAAATATTGTGTGATGAACATAGTCTTTCTCCAGTGTCTGGGTGTTTATTTATTTATAACATGTATTTATTTTCAAAACAAAAGTATGTTTATGAATGTTTACACTTATCTACTTCCAATAGTACAAACGTTGCTTAGTTTAGAATTAGTAAATGTTGTGTAAAAATGTGTCCTAAATGTGTCCTGAAATTTATAAAAACGTTATCAGATATTAAATACGATATCTAATGTCATTTTCACTAAGAAAGACTACTGGCACAGGATATAAAATATTTAGTTACTTTTCCTTTGTTACGCTAAAGAAGTATAACTTCTTACGAGCGTACATAAGTCCATACACTTTTTTATGTTGTGTTGTACGAATACCATGCAAAGTCGAATATACCACACATAAGAACAGCATACAAACGATTTCACACTCAACAATACATGTTGAGTGTGAAATCGAAATGGACTTTGGAAATGCTTTATTATACTCTAGCCTTAAATTAAAAGAAATTGTAAAGGACTTTTCTTCGAACACAAAGAACAACACCAACTTTTTGAACAAAAAGGACAATTGCGGGTCCTTATACTTTCGTTTCTTTTCGTTTGCGTCGTTTTTAATTGAAAGTAAGCCATACTGAGAATAAGAAAATAGTGCTAGTGTGACTGGCAACTAAGCGTATTTATTTGAACATAATTTATGTCCATATCGTATTCCGTAATAAAATGTTAGTAAAATTCTGTTTCTTTTTATATTCAGATTGGAATTAGTATTAACGAAAATTCGGGGAAGATGCATAAACTTATAGGGTAAAATGAAATACATAAAAAAATATTGTTATAAGATTAAACACCCAGAAATACTATTATATTGATAGGAGAAAACTGTTATCAGAGAAATAACAAAGCAATCGTAAACACTATCTGGTAATTAGTTATTAAACTGTTTATCGCATGATTTAATTTAGTTAATGGATTTTAAAAATAATGTGCCATATATGTTAATCCAGCAAATTAACAGTATCGCTGTTTATCATCCGGTAACACATTATCGTAATATATACGTTTGTTACAACAGTAATCATGCATTAAAATCGTGTAGCGCGATACGTAATTCTTTACGAGGTAACAAATCGATCGAAATCAATATCTCATAAATTGTTATAATATAACACTATTTAGTAAACAATAATACTAGAAAAATCTCTTAGTTAGACGACGTTATACACGAATAACATGTAAGGAGTTTTTATTACTCTTTTGACGTCGGTGCTGGACGTTTTATTGTTTGTGTGTTTTTAGTTCATTTAGTTTATGGGTGTTTTAATAGATTTCTTAGTGACATGACTTGAATTCATAATTTGTGGAAGTAATAAAACATTATCAAAATGCATACATTCCATGATTCTAACGTTATAAAATTTACCACAATTTACAATTGAAGAAGATTAATATTTTATTATTATACCTTTAACTTCATTATTAAAAACAAAATTAAATGTTACTTCGAAATCTATCTATTTGTCAATCCAAGAACATAATTAAAGCATTCCTAAATAAATTTCCAACACCCTCTTAACACCAACTTTTCTTTACGATGGTAGGGCCACGCAGCAGCCTCGGCTTTTGCACGAATAGGCAGGCCCGTCCGGGAAAGTACCACGACCTCACAGAAGACCAGCGTAAAGTGGAAGTATGACAAATACTTTCGCGTTTCGTCTGGTGAGTGAGGTAGCCGGAGCCCAATTTGCACAAGGTTGTCTACGCATCTGTAACCCTCGGGTGTAGATAGATAGATAGATCGATAGATAGATAGATAGATTGTCTTTATTTGTAAAAACATAGTATACATACATTGCATGCAATGTATGTATACCATGTAGCAGATGTCCATGGGCGGCGGTATTCACTTGACATCAGGTCAACCGTCTGCTCGTTTGACAACTTTTCGCATAAAAAAAATAATAATAACATTATTTTATTTTATTTTTAATCCGCGCAAAGATGCAATTCCTATTGACATATAAAATATGTTTGTTTACAATGAACATAAAAGAGAACTTTATGCCCGTAGGGAAGTAAAAACAACACATACCGTATTTGGTATAAAAGTGTGTCTTATATTATTTAATGGTAGTGAAAAATCGACGCGGCGCACCGTTTTGCCTCGAATGCAGTGTAGCAGCGTGCAACAGGCGTGGCGCGCGCGTGTGCGTGCCGGCGCCGGTGTGTGCGTGCTGTAATAGAGCGATGACGTGATTTCCTGCGCTGAGTTATTGCTACTGTGCCGGCGCTAAATGCTTCGGGCGGGGTAACATTGTGCGTGCGTCCCTCAATATAATATTCCGTGGGTTTTAAATTGTGTAGTGACGACCCAATTGGTGTAGCTGGTAGTGAATCTGCCTCTACCGCCAGAGGGTGTGGCCTCGATCCCCACTACTGGAAAAATATTGTATGTTCAACATAGCGTTTTTCCAGTGTCTGGGTGTATATATGTAGTATGTTTTTATTTACAAAAAAAAGTATGTTTAAGTATGTTTATCAGTTATCTAGTGCCGATAGTACAAGTGTTGCATAGTTTGGGACTAGAGAATGTTGTGTAAAAATCGTGAAACTCATCAACGTCATCGTCATTGAACGCTGTCACCTTTTTAGAGATCTTTTTAAAAAAGGAATGCGCAAAAATGTATTTGTAGCTATGGATATGATATAAATACTGTTATTATCATTCGGAGTGCCTATAAAATATGTACAATTGTACATTCAATAACTATACAATTTTAATTTTGATATTACTCTATGTTTTCACTTCTGTTGGCAGTTCCCATGAGACTGGCTATGACATTTTGTTTTTTTTTTTTTAAATCTTAAGAAATCCCTTCTGTACTCTTTTTGCGTGTATAATACTTCCAGATGACTTCGGGCTTCTGGAGGCGGCACTTTCTCGGACGAGCCTGATCGTGCGTGCAGCAGTAGAGCTACTGATGTGTCTTACCACACTAGCCAAAATGTCAAAAAACCACGTTTATACATAACTCCATATATGGCTTCAGACTCTACAGGTTTTGGGCCCTCATTATATGTACGTAACCCCATTAATAAAGACACACTAGCTCTTATTTTTCAGAATTATTGGACAGGAATTCAATGAGAACGCTTACTAAAGATAACTTCAATTTCTTTTTTATCTGTAGCTTGTCGCTATGTTTATTTATTGTTTTTATCGTTGAGAGTTATTTGTGAATGATAATTGAGTGAATTTTAATCGTTTAATCTGTAATATATTAAGATTGGCGTAGGATTTAATATTTGTGTATTGATGATAAGTATGAAATTTTGTTACGGTTATCGTTATGTAATTGTAAGTATTTAACGTATAATTTAAAATGTATTCAATTAATTGATTAACAGGTTAATCATATACACGTATTTGTTTACTGAACTTATATATCAGCTATTATTTACAGAATGATTCGCGAAAGTAAGATCATCGACAGTTTTTTGTAAATCAAAGTATCATTCTGTAATCTTTAATTAGCATCAAATTCTGCCTGTTAAACAGTTTTGACATACTATGAATTTCTCTACCCTGTTAATTTCAATACCCTTTAAATTCTCAACAATTTGAAAACTATACCCCATTCTTGCAGTATATAACGGGTTATAAGTACAACTTTGATAGACAGACAAAACATTTTTGAGCATTCAATTTGAGATATAATTTATCTTTATTGTTTTTATTACTCATTGATAATCTTCTAGCGAACATATTATTATCATTAATCTTCCACATCTCTATTGTCATTATTAGATCCAAACATATAAAGGCGTCGACACATAAAGATTTTCGCTACATTGTTAATATTAACAAAATTAGAGTTAATTAGTATTAAGGGTTTCATAGGAATTGTTCAGTACATACTCGTATTTAACTTTTATTGCAAACAGGTCATGATAATTATGAGTATTATCATCAATTTTTGACTTTTGAGCCAATGTCTAAGTGACTCAGACATATGTAGAGTTGGAAATTTAATTTAATCGCCACTTTACGTACATTCATATGAACTAACATACTATTTTACACATGTTCACATAAACATGTTTACCGACAGGTGAATATAATAATTGTGCTATTGTATAGACCCCGTCAAAAGACCCGCTGCTACAAAGTCAGCGCGCAAGCCCCAGGCGAGGGGGTGGAGAAGGCAACAACTCATAAAATTAAGCGATTTGGATGCGAGTTAGTCTAACTGCGAGGATCGCCGCGTTAACAGCTCCCTGTCCCGTTCGCACACAGCGATCGGCTCGTGCGTACACGGGCACACGGACGCGTCCACTTCACGCACCTCACGCACGCAAACTCAGCTGTGCACCCACACAGAGAGGGCCCACGCCAGTACTGGCCCGCGATCCGTCGCACGACAATCGCTCTAAAGCGCTCCGCCGCCATTGTTCCCGCCACAATGCGTTGACACTACAGCTCGGAAGTGGCCCGTTCACGAATCGTTCCGAAACGCCGATCGTCTCGCGTTCCATTCGATCGCTCGTTCGCGTTTTTATAATCTGTGCGGTTTCAATGTTTTCCTCTTTAATGTGACCGTGCCAGTGATTTATGTCACGGATATCGGACCTGTCAGGTGAGTATTGCGAAATTCTGATCGCGTTAATTGTGTTTAATGGATTGCTGATTAATCGACTTAATTCCAGTTCGCGGCTATGTAAATATGATATTTGATCGTGGTAAACGTTTGAACTCTATCAGTTTGACGTTGCTCAGGGTTTCTTAATAGAAATAAAAATTTGATAGTTATAAATTTCGTTTTTGTTCATCACGCAGTCTACTCGTGTTTTTTAAATTAATCACACCGAATATGTATAAGCAATCACTCTTTCGGCGTACGATAAGTTTTAGTTGTTTACTATTTTTATAGTTTCGGTAATCTAAATGAAACAAAAAGAAAATTAAAAACTAATATTAACGAAATCGTTTGCATTACACCACAACTTGTGCGTGCCATAAAATTATCTCTATAGTGTATTTGTTAATTATGTTTTTATTGTGTAGGCTGTTACTAACATCGATGATCCTTTTGTAATTAATTGCTTAAGTAATGCCTTTTGATTTTAAGTAATCACGCAGTGACATAATAACATCATTTATACTTTTGAAATAAATATATGCAACCAAAACGCGTTCACATTCTTACGTCAAGAAAAACTTGAAGAACTTAAAATAACAATTGCCACCTGTATGTATTGTCATTACTCTTTCGTCTTATTGACCGCTCTACGATGTGTTTATTTTACAGTTCGATTGAAATTCTAACTAGCTTGTTAATTTCATTACGAAACCATTACTTAAATAATGGAGCTTTGGAGTTCTTGTGAAGCATAATACAAGTTTTAATTGTTTGATATAGAATAATTCCCTTTCCACTTCTTTAACAAATAAGTACATTGCCTTATTGATGGTCCATCAAGCAATATTATGATTAATAGGATTTGTTTCCATATCGAACCAACGCTTTTATGTTGAGAGTCAGAAAACAAATTTATTTGGCTTGTGTACGCAAAAAGTTCATTTTAGGCAATTTTATATGAAAGATATCAATGAGATAGACACGAGATAGAAATTCCGAGCTTATTTTACATGTTCTAATTGTAGTGACTTGCGTCAAGTGTACTGATTTAAGGATTTTTAAGTACAAAATTGTGTACTGTTTACGCTGCCAGCCTTACTACATGCAAACTCTCATTAAAGCGTTCTGAAATTTATGAGATTAGAGCTTGTATAAGATTTTAATATAGGATTATATTCTAATGAGATATATAATTAATTGATAAAAGCGCAATATTACTTCAAAGCAAAAACGATGCGCCACGAAATGCAACAACCAATCTCAATCTGGTTTCCTGTTTAATTTAACGTCATAAATTATGATCGTATAATAAAAGAAGGCGTAAGTAAAGTACCGACAAAGCACTTACTTTGTTCTGGATTAATACGCCTGTATCGTACAATTGCTTTCAATTTGTTATAATTACAAAATCATGTCTCAGTATACTTCGACCTTTACTTTGGTAACACGTGGAATCGTGTTATTAATTTCTCTTATTTCTAATTGAAAACAAAGTTTTTCTTGCAAGCAGTCATTAATTCAAAAAAAAGTAAAAAAAAAAAAAATGTAAGCTAACATTTTTTTATATGATTAAAGCGCATTGTGGTGGAGCCGTGGGTGCGTGTAGCAATGCTATTAGGTAAGAGCAGAAGAAATGGACAGGCTCGTCTGGGTAAGCACCACGGCCTCACAGAACACCGACGAGAGGTCGAGGTATTAAACTTTCGCCTTGCGTCTGGTAAGTGGGGTAACCGACGTCAACTTTTAAAAGATTGGCAATGTATATGTAACACCTAAGATGTTGTGGAAGTCCATGGGTAGAGATCACTTATCATCAGCTGAACCGCCTAATGTCTTGCAATCTTTCAGAATGTTTCATTTTCAACACTCTTTCAGAAAGAATGTTGCAGTTTTCTTGTTAACGTTATCTCAATCTACATACAGAAATCATTTTATATAACACTTGAAAAAGTTGCTACATTATTTTTAATTAAAATTTATAAAATTAGCACAATTTAGATATTACTAAATCTGAACTAAATAGAGGTCCAGCAAGGAACCTCAAGGTTAAAAGAGGATGTAAATTTACTAATTAAACGCGAGATACTAGTTAATTTGTAGAAAAAAAAGACGAGTCAATTTCTCTTCGGAGCCGTTTTTTGCTCAAACCGTAGCAATTTAATAATTACGAGAAATTAATGAGGTAGGCACCTTCTTCGTCTGGGATACATTTTAATATCTAAAGGATGACCCACTTTCGAGGACAATGCATTTTAATGATTCTTTAAAAGCTATTCAAAGTTGAGTACAAGGCGAATGAATAATTGCGTCGATCCGAAGCCAAGGGAATGCTGGATTATGCTCTGCAGCTTAGGAGCTTTAGTATAATAAAAAAAACATCATCAAAATTAATACACGTCGTCATCATCGAGTGATAAAATTCATTTCGATATCTCATCTTAACGTTTGATACGTTTCTAAAAGGCTAACGAATGACATCTATACTCAATGACTTTCTTTTTTGTCTTCTAAATCATTTGAATTCACAACGGCTTAGGCTAAACGGCAGTTGATACCGCAAAATGTATGTTTTCATAGTGAAGCAATTGTTTACGAAATCACGGGTTTTTTTGTCTGATCAAATCCCAAGTCTTTAAGACTGCCGTCCGTTATTCGATCTGACATTTTAACCGCAGTCGCGTGGGAATTGTGGTTAATCTCATCTGCGTTATATCTTGCGTTGGTGAAATGGACATAACAAGTCTGCTTTGTCTTCGTGACGATTAAAGCACTGAAATACTTGATGAACAAATCTTTCACAGATCAAAGTTATCGGAAAATTTGCACTCAGGTTTTGCTGTTGAAAAGTTGATTCCGAAACGTACCAAATTTAGGTGTTTTAAGACTTTTGTAAGGTCTTTCCAACACAAGCTTGGTACAAAACTTGTAATATGAATTGTATAAAAGAACTTTTATACGCCAGGTGGGTTGATTCGATGAAATGTAGATGATGGATAATGATTTTTGGTCGACATTAACGTAAAACTTAACTATCGAATAACGACTATATACCTTCAACTGTCAATGTAACAGTAGTAATTCAGAATCAAGGTACAAGCAAATATATTCTACTGAAGCATCCGACAGGGCGCATTGCAAAACAGCGCTTTTACAAGCGTAATTTATAATGCATTGAAGATTTACAGTTTGCAGCTCTCGAACACGAAACCAAAAGTTTAACTTATTACGTCTGTCGAATTAAGATTTTATGCTTGGTGAACTATCTATTTTCGTCGCTGTGGCTATCAGCCGTTTAGCTCAGTGGCTAGAGCGTCTGGCCGCGAATGCCGAAGACGTGGGTTCGATTCCCACAGCAGCGACAATCTTTTCGTACTTTTTCTACATATTTTAATGTTCAATCTTAAGTGCAAAGATTAGCACTATAAACAATTTAAATTTCTTAGCTATCTCTGCTTACATCGTTACGGTAAAAAGTCACGAGAACATACATACATTCTAGACATACAATTCGAACCGTTTACTGGTACTAGCGTTCACTCGCTGATTCGTTCACGTTGTTTTTTACATTGTCAAAGACATTTCTTTGTTCAATATAGGAATATTTTAAGCTCGTATTCAATGTCGAAAAACTGCCATCGGCTTACTAAACCAGACTTGACCAGAAAAGAACCTTTTAATTTTTTATAATACAAGTACAAAACTATTGTTCTAACATCAACAAACAATTCTATTTTTACAACTTTGAAGTTGTAAAAAATAAAATTGATCACTGGAGCAGGATAAAAGTGCATCTTTTCAAATCTGACATTGTCCCGTGATGCTGGATGCTCTAAGGTTTTTGAAATTCTGAAATTTAAATTTAAAACCCGACAAATCCGTGTACTTAGATTTATTAACAGACTTAAAAAACTCTATGTTCGACTGTATGTATTTTTTTTTACATTATACATTCGTGTAAATAAAGAAATTATCTAGTTTTATATGTGTAATAATGAGCGTAGACGTTTAATGTAGACGTTACATTGGAATAAAGTGTGTGTCTTTTGGATTTAGTATATTTAATATTTGCTAATAAGACGAAATTCGTATTGGTGGCAGCCCTGTCTAAAGGCCATGATTATCGGCATAATAATATGTTGTTATTCCGATAATTAGGCAATATGTCAACGTAATGTAAGCGTACAGACGTCAAGTTGGTACAGCAATAGAGTGGACTATGTACTCGTATTCACCGAGCGTTCTCTACTGCGTTGAGTTAATGCATAAACTTAGCTTTCCTAAGTAGAAATAAGTCGTTTGCTTTTGAAATAAAAATGTTCGATATTCAATATAACATTAAATTCAAGCATTTACCTTTTTATTGGGCTTCAATCTATTCTCTGATTGGGCTAATTCCAATCTTTAATAATTCCAGTAACGACCATTTTATCATCACAATGATTTCACAATACGTATCCTATATGCATGCAAATTTGATTTTTTGTGTGAATTCTTCGAAGTGGTGAATTGGCCGTTACGACCGTGTCTTTAGAGATGGACTTGCCATGATTATTGTTTGCACATTATGATTTTTACTGTGGTAAAAATGATAGTGTGCACTTCTGCTACCACGGAATACCACGCCCTCACATAAGACCGGCGCGAAGTGCGAGTATTAGATACAGCTCGTTCTTATTAGACAAGCATAGCTCGCCGAGGGAATTTGGTATTTCTCTGCGTAATGTAGTTCGCAACGAAGACATCGGCAGTAAGCACAGATAATTGACAGAGGATTAGTAAGTTGAAGCGGCGACGGGCCGGACATATAGCTCGTAGAACCGATAACCGTT